ATATTCTCTCCCATTCTACTTCAGGGACTGCTTCAACTTGCCATCTGGTATTCCTTTCTGTGGAGTCGGGCGGGGCCAGGCATGGTTAAATCTCTACTTCTCTGATTAGCCTCAACTTTCTGAAATGTTCCCCACTAGAGTACTAAGAGCCAGGAACTGAGCTGCCTGGGCACCTGTTCTCCGGGAGCACCGTTCCCTATACCGGCATGAAACAGATTTGTGTACCGCTATCTTTTCCAGAGAGGGAAGCCCTTTAAACAGTGGGATTTTAAGTTAAGAGGGACCATGCCTGCAAAATCATCCACCCATGAAAGCACTGCTTGTGCAAAGTCTACAGGGGCCTTTAAGGTCTCAGACGACATCTCTTTCCTCGTTGTGCTAAGGTCCACAACTCCACTACAATGAGTACTTCAGCCTGAGGGAATTCCAACCCTTTATTCCAAATGTCAGACTAAAATTCAGCTCAACGATTTGTCTAATTCCAAGCCATGTCCTGGGGTTGCATTTGACTTTTGAGGAGACTCTCCCCTCAGCTCCACTTCCTGCTCTGAGGCACTTACAGCAGATGCTGCAGGCTTCAGGGAGAGAGCCAAAGGCAAAAGGAAAGGCCCGTGTCTCCTGCTTCCTCCTCCTTGTTGAATAATGTCTCATTGGGGAGCTTAGCCAACACTGGGGTCAGAATGCAGTTTACCCTTGAGAAGGCAAGACCGCAGGAAAAGAGCCTGGCAGGAGTGGAAAATTTTGGCTCCAGGAACAAGGTTCAGACACTATTTCAGCAGCCTATTGTGGGTGGGGTTCCCTCCCCCTGTAGAACCCTCCCTTTCCCCTGCCCTGATCAGGGTTTGGATGTACCAACAGAGCCAGCAGAGAATCTCAGCAAAACTAAGAAAGATTGTGCCTAGATCCTGTGCTGGGTGTGCAGCTCAGCTACCTCCTCTGTCTCCACCCCCTACTCAAGTTGCAGTTGGAGGGTGTGCTACAGGGCTGCTGGACTCAGTCCCCTGCTTCCACCTCAGTAACAGGCTCACAGAGATTCGCTACTGCTATCCTAGGCTGGACTCTCCAGGGGAAATGCAAACCTATTTTGGTCATATGGCCCCTACACAGAAGAGATGACAAGCCTTGTCCTCTTTCTGACTGCAGGGAGAGTCCTCATCCCCTGCAATATTTTTGGAGCAATCCCTGAGCCAAATCTCACTCCTCCTCTTAAAGCAGAATCATAAGGATAAGTTCCCAAATGGGAAATAAAATTAAAAATAAGCAAATAAAATCTGCACCTAGAACAGCTGCTCACCTTCACAGAGAGCAGCATTGTAGATAAACTCAGGAAAGAACAAGCCACAAACCTGTGCTGATTTTTTTTTAAGGGAGCCCTGAACAGAACAAAAAGAAAAGGAGGACTTGTGGCACCTTAGAGACTAACCAATTTATTTGAGCATGAGCTTTCGTGAGCTACAGCTCACTTCATCGGATGCAAAGCTTATGCTCAATTAAATTGGTTAGTCTCTAAGGTGCCACTAGTACTCCTTTTCTTTTTGCGAATACAGACTAACACGGCTGCTACTCTGAAACCTGAACAAGAACAGAATCCCTGTGCTTGAAGCCCTAGGTGGTGTTTTCTTCTATGTTTTAAGTAATTATTCTAAAAGACTTACAGGCACTTTTTTTTAAATACAGTACTACCATAAAAAGGTCATGCCCAGGGTCTGATTTAAACTTAGAAGCAAGGCAACTCAGCTAAGAGCATGAGCCATTTCTTAGCCCACTCTGTTGAGCCTTACCTACTGAATTAGGGCTCGTCTTCGCTGGCAACGTCAAAGCACTGCTGCGCTTTATGGTGGCTGTGTAGTCACAGCATAGTGCTGGGAGAGAGCTCGCCCAGCGCTATAAAAAAAATCACCCCATCCAGGGGAATAGCTACCACCGCTGGGAGCACAGCTCCTAGCACTGGTACACTGGCACTTTACAGCGCTGAAACTTGCAGCACGCGGGGGGTGTTTTGTCACAGCCCTGAGCAAGAAAGTTGCCGCGCTGTAAATTGCCAGTGTAGACAAGCCCTGAGATTTAGAATTGCTGAGGCCAAATGCCCGCACCAACAAAGTGGGGGACAAGCAGATCTAATAAGGGTAGATTCCACAAGGAAAGCCGAGGCTACCACATGGTGCAGCATGCTCTGCTGCTCCTTTTAAAAAAGTAGGAATGTCCTGGGACTTGGGCCATTTAGTGCTACTGAACGCAGCCAGCTGTGGGGCGATGACTGTACAAACTGCCGGCTGGAAAAACCACACTCTATGGGGCCATGGTGTTTGGGGAAGTTCAGCAGCCTGTCTCCTTTCTTAGCATTTTCTGGAGCCCTAGGGAGAAATTCTGACTCTTGGTCCTTTTGGGGGACAGTGACTGAGTAAAAAATACCCTGTTTTACCTTTAACACACCAACAGAGCAGAGCGGCGGGGCTAGGCCCGGCCTACATTCAAAAGTTAAGTTGACCCAGCTACGTCGCTCGGGGCTGTGAAAAAAACACACATACCCGAGCAACATAGTTAAGCAGATCTGTCTCCCATTTTAGACAGCGGTAGGTTGACGAAAGAATTCTCCTATCAACATAGCTACCGTCTCTCAGCGAGATGGATTAACTACGCCATTGGGAGAATCTCTCCGGTGGCTATAGTGACTCTACACTGAAGTGCCTCAGCCACGGCTTTCCTTGTGGAGTCTACCCTTATTAGATCTGCTGGCATAGACCCACTCTGAATCACATACTGGGTGGAATATCTAGTGAGGTGGTAAGTCTGCTTCTGAGTTCTCCTTTCCCTTGACTTTGTGACCTTTCATGTAAATTTACTCTATGTAAATACAGGTTCTTAAAGTTTAATTGTTTTCTTACATGGTAAAAGTTAAATTTTCATCAGAGAGATGTGTTATTGCTGTCTGAGATAAAATATGGTTATGTTGAGAAGTAGTGACTGCTTACATCACAAACCTCTTTGAGTGTAACACACTCTTCAATTAACATAACTGCCAGGATAAATTAATCACAAGCCCCCAACCTAAAACAAAAGGGAGGTTGTGAACCAACCTGCCCAGAAATTTTTGGACTGAATAGGCAGAGGGGTTTTGCTGAGTATTGTTTTGGATATGTGCATGCATGAGCAGAGACAGCCTAGTCACAAGGAGCAGCCGAAAGCGGGGTATGACCCTGAAAGAAACCTAGGGAGAGATTTCTTGGGTCAGAGGTTCAGGCTGAAAAGTGTGTTCTTGGGGCTCTGAGCAAAAAAACCTGTTTCCTGCTATTTGATACTTTCTGCGTTGGGAGTCACAAAGGTTTTTTTAAGCAATATCTATCGCTGATTTCTACTCCCAAATGGAACATTTCCAGGGCCCCAACCTTTGATTAGCCACTTGGGTGACAATGTTTAACTGCTAAGTGAGGCTGCTTTACCTTTGACTCACATACTGTAAATGAGAACTGTGGATAAGATTGCAAATAGTTGCGCAACACTTCAAGGTTTATTTGGTTTTGCTCCATGGCAGCTTCTGTCAATTGCCATGAATGGTTTTTGGGGAACTACATCGTAGGAAATTTGGCCTGCAGCAGCACAGGAAGGGTCTTCTGCAACACTCCATAAATATCTGAAATTAGTGTTACTATACGCAACCCAGCCCTGTTGAATTACATGTGTGGTCCATGGAATGTGCCATTCATTTCAGGGGAGGGCAGATGCACTAAATCACTCATATCGCACCCAGGGTATTGCCCCTGCATCTATCTCCCACCTCATCTGCCTCTGAACTCCTGGGGGCTGCCGCCATCCCCACTCACTGTTCCTACTCCAGGCTACTGATCCACTGAGTCCTATGCCCCGATCCTATCTGTCCCTGGGGTTCTCCCACCCCATACCGTAAGCCCCCTTCTCTAGCATCCTGCTCCATTCCCCAGCCCATCTGCCCTGTGGTCTGCTCCCTGTCCCATATCCCTAGCCTTCCCCACCCATCTGCCCTTCCCCATGTTCTAGTCCCCCCTCTCTATTTGTCCCCCACTGTGTTCTGAACCCCACTCCATCTTTCATCTCCCTCTGGGTCCTGGCCTGGACTCTATCTGTGTCCAGGCTTCAGTCCCCCTCTAATATCCCCCCTTGTTCCACCCATGTATTACATGCCCCCCCTCCAGCCTCATATCAGGGACCCCCCTGTATCCTAGGGTGCCCTCCAGACGGGTTCACTGGGAGGGGAGTCTCCTTTCAGAGAGGACTAGATCACAGCCCATTAACGAACTGCTAATGCGGGTTAGCACGGTGCACCACGTGGACAGGGTACGGCAGGCTGGGATGTGGCAGATGTATCCTGCATGTTGGGAGGCATTTGACGCTAAATTCATCTCCTGTTAAATTGCCTTGCGCTGTCTCCGCTCTCCTCATCTTTCCTCCATTATTCTCCCACTCGTTACACTTCGTCTTAAACTCGACTGTAAACGCTGCAGGGGAGAAGTGGCCCCCAGACTGGCTGAACCCGCACAGTGGACCTAGACTGGGACCTTACTCTGCACGGGGGGCAAGCGGCCACACAAGGAGGAAGGAGATTCAGGCCAACTGGGAGCAGGACGCGGGAAAGATGCCAGATCCACTACACAAACCAGGGGCTGCATCTTGTCTCCGACCCAGGGCCAATCCCTGTGGCTGCAGGGCCCGGCTGCTCCCCTTCAGCCCGGCGAAGACAGGCCGTGTCACCGCCCCCGGCTGCGGCTGGAGCCCCTGCCCGGCTGCCACCGGCTTTCGCGCCCATTTGCTGGCCTGGGGCTCCGGAAGCCGGACGTCTCCGCGGCGCGCCGGGCTGGGGGCTGCCCCAGGGACGGGCCCAGGAGCTGAGCTGGGCTCGGCCACGGCCCCAGGATGGGCAGCGCCAGGGCTCGGAGCCTGTCGGGGGCGGGACGCCGCAAGCCGGCGCCTGCCAAGCCCCTCCCCCCTCCCGCGGCTCCTTCTGCGGCGGCCGCTCGCTCTCCGCGCCAGAAGGGGCCGCGTGTAGCCGCCGCCGCCGCCCGTCAGCGCCGGACCCCAGCGCCGCGCGGCCGCCGCTCGCCGGCGGCTCCCCGCCATGCAGGACTACGAGGTGGTCACCGCCTTCCTGGGCGAGTGGGGCCCCTTCCAGCGCCTCATCTTCTTCCTGCTCAGCGCCAGCATCGTCCCCAATGGCTTCACCGGGCTCTCCATCGTCTTCCTGGCCGGCGCCCCCGAGCACCGCTGCCGGGTGCCCCCCAGCGCCAACCTGAGCCGCGAGTGGCTCAACGCCAGCATCCCCCGCGAGCTGCAGGGCGGCCGGGAGGGGCCCAGCAGGTGCCGCCGCTACCGCCTGGAGTCGCTGGCCAATTTCTCCGCGCTGGGGCTGCAGCCCGGCCGGGACGTGGACCTGAGTCAGCTGGAGCAGGAGAAGTGCCTGGACGGCTGGGAGTACAGCCGGGAGATCTACCGCTCCACCATCGTCACCGAGGTGCGCCCGGGCGCGGGGTACGCCCTGGGGGCCAGGGGCGAGAGGGGTGGGGAGTGAAGGGGTCTTGGGGTGATGGAGAAGGCTGGGGGGTGGGGCCAAGGCGTGGGATGCTGCTGGGAGGGGTGTTGGGAGGGGGGGCACCGGGAGTGGGGTGCCCAAGGTGGGAGGTGCTGGCGATTGGGGGTCGGGAAGGGGGGTGCCAACCACGTGGGGCCAGTGTAGGAGTTTGGAGGGCTGGGGTAAGGGGTCTGAGTGTATCGGTAACCGCTGGAGGCACTGGGGACTAGCCTGCCCTGCCATGTTGATGATGTGCTGATTTGGTGCATAAATGGTCAGTAATACCGAGAGATACTGTGCTTTGCTTCCTAGTCCCCGACACATGACATGGGACAGAATTCTACCTGTCAGTCCCTCTGTCGCAGGATGTGGGACCTAGTGTCTACTCAATTTATTTGAGCATAAGCTTTTGTGAGCTACAGCTCACGAAAGCTTATGCTCAAATAAATTGGTTAGTCTCTAAGGTGCCACAAGTACTCCTTTTCTTTTTGCGAATACAGACTAACACGGCTGTTACTCTGAAACTAGTGTCTACTGACTCCAGTAGCTACTGTTTCAGTTGAGATGTGGAGTGGATGGGAGCTCTGAAACTTGGTGGAAGGGGAAAAGTGGGCCCATGGTTACCTAGTGTGTAACAATAAGTATGCTTGCAGGAGGGGAGACTGCAGGCCATAAATACACCTGTCCTCTAGTTTGAAGTCCACTACCTACACACTTCTGGGACTGCATATCCAATACTGGGCGCATTACTCTGGGGACCTGTTCATCTTGAGTTGCTTACTGTAGCTACATCAACCCTACACTTTCCCCTCTTGACTTTTCTCTGACTGTTCAGGTCACTGAATGTATTTCCTTCCTCCCTCCCTCCCTCCTTCCGAAAGTTTTAACAGGTTAACTAATCATTGCTATGTAAATATGAGAGACCAAACTAAAATCATTACAACAGTGAGCTTTTGTTTAGAGAAACATTATACAGTAATACAGTCATCAGCTCTCTCCATTTAACAGGGTGCTATCAAATTACAGAGACTTTTTACAAAACCCAGGACATATTGTTTTTGGTGATCTTATTAAATCAAGTGAAACTTCTGATTACACATTTATGAAATCAGACATGCCTACCAAATGTTAATATTAAAATAAATTGGACATTCCCTAGTGAAGCAAGCCACTTTGCACAGAGAAGTTTGTGCTGGGCTTTGCTGATGTCTCTTTCTTAACTGAAGATCTGGGTAGGTGTTTGCAAAGGAACCTATAGTTGGCCTCTGCAGCCTGCCTGTTTTTATATTGTGTCTTAAATGTACATGCTGTTTTTAAAATAATTTGGAATGCCAAAGTGTGTGTACTGGAGAGCATACAGTTTAATGTAGATTATTAAAATATACAGGACAAGAGTTCAGGTTAGTGTTGGAAGCTATTGCTGAAGGAGAGACTTGGAAGAAAAAAAAGTTATGTCATCTCTATTTAAGCTGCTGGAAATGTGGCTATGAGGTAGAACAGTGATATTGTGAAAGTTTCTGTCTTTTTTCCCCCCCGCACATCATATGTAACTTTGTCTGTCAAGCTCTTGTGATATTTTTCCCCTGCTGAAAGCTTCTACAAGAAATGGAAAAAGACCTTTTAAAAATAAATAGCAGGAACAACATGCACCATTGTGCTTCTCTGCAGCAGTGCCTAGGAGATTGCTGTAACAAAGGAAGTTTGAGCCTCTTTTGATGTAACCTGCATACTTCAGTGGCTTAGGATTTTGCTGTCCCAGTATTAAATTTGGCACATGAGATTTTTTTTTTTAAAGAGAAGGCCCATGATGATTTTTCACACCACTGTACCAGCCAGTGTAGACAGGGCAAAACTTTAATTGGTTGTTGACACCTGTTACTGAGCTTTGGTTAAAAAAAAAAAAAAAAAGAGTACTTGTGGCACCTTAGAGACTAACCAATTTATTTGAGCATAAGCTTTTGTGAGCTACAGCTCACTTCATCGGATGCATACTGTTCATCGGATGAGCTTCGATAGTGACTGAGGCTTGAATGATTTTCACAGCTGATTTTAGTGAAGTTTTGTCATCTCCACACCAGCTTTCACCTTTCAGCACTGATGCATCACCTAAATTGCTTTTTAAGATCTGCTTTAGACACTTAACTGTTCTGAACTTCTTTCTGGACACCGCCCAAAAGCACTATTGCAAAGGCCTAAACTATTATTGTAGAGAACATAAAAAACGGAGTCTTTTTAAAATTATTTCAGTTCACATGACATTGTGTTGTTTTTATTTTGAATGCTTCAAAGCTCAATGGCTTGGTGGTTTAGACATGGTTTCAGCCTATAATTTGTCTCCTTGCTGACAAAACCGTGTACTGAGTTTCAGCCCAATTGCAAATTAAACTGGCTGAATTTTAAACTTCAGAAAGCAGGAGAGTCTGGTAACAAACTGTAAGAATAAAGGAAGCTGATACAGTGCGTGACACTAGAATTTCAAGAAAACACACTGTCTGTGCAGTTTGGCTGATATTTTGTTTGAAACTATATTTTGTTTGCCTGATCCCTGTGTGTGCGGGAGTTAACTTGGCAGTCCCAGACTTCATGCATCATGACTTCTTTTACAAATGTTTATGCTTCTGGGTGAGTTTTGCAAGAGCTGTGGCCTTTCACCCACTTACAGGTTTTCAATGTTAAACTTGTTTAACTCTCTAATCTGTTGGCTCATTCCTGCCCTTTTATGATTCATTAATCTTATGTTTAGCTGTATATCTCTCTCTGACTTGTCAAGATGGCCAAGAGGACCTTTGTCCCAGATTTCAGAGTAACAGCCGTGTTAGTCTGTATTCGCAAAAAGAAAAGGAGTACTTGTGGCACCTTAGAGACTAACCAATTTATTTGAGCATGAGCTTTCGTGAGCTACAGCTCACTTCATCGGATGCATACCGTGGAAACTGCAGCAGACATTATATACACACAGAGATCTGGGCGTATATAATGTCTGCTGCAGTTTCCACGGTATGCATCCGATGAAGTGAGCTGTAGCTCACGAAAGCTCATGCTCAAATAAATTGGTTAGTCTCTAAGGTGCCACAAGTACTCCTTTTCTTTTTGTCCCAGATCTGGCTTTAACTGAAATCTAGAAAAAAAAATGTTGCCTGAAGCATCTTCTGTCTCATGTCACATGACCACAGTAAAGGCCCTCACTTATGTGACAGTCTTTAAGGAGCAGAAGTGGTTTAAAATGCCTTTCCTTTGCTTCTTCCTATCTAAAAGCAAATCCCTCTTTCTCATGTCAGTCTTCCTAGTGTACATTTAATAACAGAAGATTGCAGTTAGAGATGCTGGTATATTTGATCATTTTATACATACTGTAACTGCTTTTTGTATTTGTGAGTCATTTCAAACACTATAAGTGGAGAGGTGAATAAAACTTCATGCCCTCAAGAAAACATCCATGTATGTAATTCTTATTCCTTTTTTATGTAAGTAAGTGGCAGAATGAAATGGTAATAAAAAGTGATATATGGGTCTTAAAACACTTAGAGGTGTGATAATTAAATGAAGGGCTAAATTCCTCTTCCAGTTACATCTGTTAAACCCTGCTATCTTCAGTGGCAGTGAGCAGGTGTAACTGGGAGCAGAATTTGGCACTGAAATAGAATGAGACAAAGGGACTGTAGAGGAGGAACAAAGAGGAAGTAGACTTGTCTTGGATAACGCAATGGTCTTACATATTTTGGCCAATTTAAAATGTGCTCAACTTCTGGTCTGCTATTCTGAAAACCTCTGTTCAGTCACTTTCTAAGTGTTAAGATGGTAGGAGTAATTGCTGCATGCCAGGTGGTAAGTATCATAATTTTATGTCATGTGTGTGTTCATCCTTAAATTTTTCAGTTTTTTTTTAGAATATCCCGTTGCAAAATTTACACTAGTGGGAATATGAAATCAAGTGGTTAAGGGCAAGATTGTACATTTTTGTTTGTTCCTTTAACAAAATGCAAGCATTATTTGACTTTAAAAAAAGAAACTTTATTCTAAGCCTACCTCTCTCTTTTATTCTTGTTGTTGTTGGAATTACAGTAGTGCCCCACGGCCTTACTCAGTATTGGTACCCTATTGTGCTGGGCACTGTACAAACCTATAGGAAGAGACCGTCCGTGCCCTCCAAAATTCACAATGTAGGGCTCTGATCATGTAATTAGCTCTATGCAGGCAGACCTCTGCACCTTTGTAGAGCTCATATGAAACAAATTAACAGGGGGTGTGTGGGAAAGTGGAGACAATGGTACCAACAGTTGGAATTGCCCACGGAAGCATAGACCAGCAATGTGCCTAAGTTCCAGGTATTCAAGTTTACTTTTTTTAAAGAGTAAACAGGAGAGATTAATGAAACTGCACGACCTTGTTTATATAACAATGCAACCAGTGGCTGAAGTTCAAATCAAAGCTTTTTCTACCAAGTTAAATATTTACTGACGTCGACATGCATATTATAGTGGTGGTTGAGCATAGCAAAAGTCATGTCCGGACTCTCATTAGATTTCCTCCTCTTCACATGTTACCAGCTTTCTTAATACATGTGCTCTCTGTGTGTATTAATTTGTAATTAAGATAAACAGAATTAAGGGTAGAATGAGGGTGTCCACATGGGTTAATGCCATTTAACTAATCCACCTTTTGTTAATTTGGATTAATTTTCCTGAATGTCCCTGTGTAAACAAGACTTTAGTTAAGCTTTCTTTCATAGCTAGGCTACTTCTGCAGGGCAATCAGAAGTGAAAAGCAGTCCGCACTTCTGTCAAAAATGAGCAGATATGATACTGACTATACACGGAGAACAGATGTATTCATTGGGAAAGCTACTAACATATGAAGATGAGGAAGTCTAATGAAAGTCCTGATTTCAGAATCTTTGTTACTGGTCATGTCAGAGCAAGAAAAACATTTATCTTGGCTTTCAA